TAATAACTTGTACAGATGCAGCATGTACATGTGTGAATGTGTGTGTATGTGTGTTACCTTATTACCTTGACAATTTCCCTTTTTTCTGTAGTTTTATACTGGTAAGAAATCGAGTGGTCTTTCCTATAAAGGTCAAGGACAGAGAATTTCCAGAATTCTCAGGTAGCTTACAACAATTTCTTGTCTGGAAACCATGTCAGTCACGAGAACATCTGACAGTGACACCAGTAACGTGGGCTGTCCCTGAAGCAGAACCAGCTTGTTTTACATTTTCCAGGGCCGGCAGCTCCATGGGGCTGCATCTGGAGCTGCTTTTGATGACGCTCATCCCAGCGTCATGAGAAATACGCTTAGTCGCCGCAGAGGGTGATCTGGCAGTTTTATTCCATGGGGTCAGGGCTCGTGTTGGAAATGCTCCCCAATTGTGGTTGCTGTATTGCATCATTTAAGGGGCTACACCAGTTTTCGCTGAAGTGCATGTCCACACCGCCATGTTTTTTCAACGCTGCATATTTTCTTCTGTCGGTGTTGAAAGCCTCATGCACATGTTGAATACTTTGAGCCGTTCAGAACATACTAATCCTTCTCCTTCTACTGACTGCCTCCCAAGCTTGTCCTACTTTTCTCGTTTTCGCCCATCAGTGTTGTCCTTCAGGCGCAACCTTTACTGTGGTTTTTTAACATCCTCCTTCTAACTGACAGCTTGCTAAAAGAAAACATGAAGACCGCCTCTGTTCCTGACATCAAGAATCATACCCCACACATGCTTCTTGTACGTCATGGAGCTTGTTTGCTCTGTTGAGAATACCCCTGGTGCAGATAAACCCTCATATGGGGGACAATGAAGCTGGCGTCACAGAAGATTATCAGCATCCATGTAATATTCATGACCTTTGTGTGTTTGCTCTGGGATTGCACTGATGCACAGATACAGTCGTGTTCTTCTAAGTATTTGACTCCCTGGCTGCAGTGAGAATCATATGTGAGACAATGGTTGTGATGACCCCCCTCCCCTATAGATAGCCATCTGTTTGGCAGGTGACTGCTGAACTTCTGAGGTTATCTAGAGGCCTGACTGACATACATTCCTCCCAGTTGTGGGATTTTCCAGCAGACCAACTGGGACATACAGACTCTGTAGGTTTGGGCTCTTTTGGCCTGTGGTCAATGGTTAAAATCCTGGGGCAGATAGAGAGATGTCACTGTTGGGCCATTGACCTTCATCCCTTACCTGACCTTACTTAGCATAGACCTTAATCCCAGTTGCTCCTGGGACCCCTTCTGACCCTGCTGTTTGACCTTGACCTATATGTCGCTTTGAACAAACATATAAATGCAGAATGCAGCTAATGGACAGATATAATTCATGTAACGTATTGCGTTTGTTCCTACAGGGGTGACTTTTCTGGGATTGGTTTATTGGTTCCATCCATCCATCCATCCATCTGTTACAGGGTTATGTGGGGAGCCTATGCCAGGCAGGGTTGGGCACGAGTACTGCGAGGACTCTGAACGGGGTGCCAGTCCAACACCACCCATCCATCCATCCATCCATCCATCCATCATCTCCCGCTTAATCCGAGGTCGGGTTGCGGGGGCAGCTGTCTCAGCAGGGAAACCCAGACTTCCCTCTCCCCAGCCACTTCATCCAGCTCCTCTGGGGGAATCCCGAGGCGTTCCCAGGCCAGCCGAGAGACATAGTCCCTCCAGCGTGTCCTGGGTCTTCCCCGGGGCCTCCTCCCAGTGGGACATGCCCAGAACACCTCACCAAGGAGGCGTCCAGGAGGCATCCTAATCAGATGCCCGAGCCACCTCATCTGGCTCCTCTCGATGCGGAGGAGCAGCGGCTCTACTCTGAGTCCCTCCCGAATGACCGAGCTCCTCACCCTATCTCTAAGGGAGAGTCCAGCCACCCTGCGGAGGAAACTCATTTCGGCTGCTTGCACTCACGATCTCGTTCTTTCGATCACTACCCACAGCTCGTGACCATAGGTGAGGGTAGGAATGTAGATCAACTGGTAAATCGAGAGCTTCGCCTTTTGGCTCAGCTCTTTCTTCACCATGACAGACCGATGCAGCGCCTGCATCACTGCGGACGCCGCACCGATCCGCCTGTCGATCTCCCGCTCCATCATCCCCCCACTCGTGAACAAGACCCCGAGATACTTAAACTCCTCCTCTTGGGGGAGGACCCCATCCCCGACTCGGAGAGAGCATTCTACCCTTTTCCGGCTGAGGACCATGGTCTCGGATTTGGAGGTGCTGATTCTCACCCCTGCCACTTCACACTCGGCTGCAAACTGTCTGAAGTGAGAGCTGAAGGTCACGGTCTAATGAGGCCAACGGAACCACATCATCTGCAAAAAACAGAGACCTAATCCTGAGGTCACCAAACCAGACACCCTCAATGCCCTGGCTGCGCCTAGAAATTCTGTCCATAAAAAGTATGAACAGAATCGGTGATAAAGGGCAGCCCTGACGGAGTCCAACCCTCAATGGAAACGAGTCCAACTTATTGCCGTCCATGCGGACCAGGCTCTGGCACCAGTCATACAGGGACTGAACAGCTCTTAAAAGGATGCCCGGCACCCCATACTCCCGGAGCACCCCCCACAGGACTCCTCGAGGGACACGGTCAAATGCCTTCTCCAAGTCCACAAAACACATGTAGACTGGTTGGGCAAACTCCCATGAACTCTCCAAAACCCTGCGGAGAGTATAGAGCTGATCCACTGTTCCACGGCCAGGGCGAAAACCACACTGCTCCTCCTGAATCCGAGGTTCGACAATCCGGAAGACCCTCCTCTCCAGAACCCCCGAATAGACCTTACCAGGGAGGCTGAGGAGTATGACCCCCCTATAGTTGGAGCACACCCTCCGGTCCCCCTTCTTAAATAGGGGGACCACCACCGCGATGCTGCACATGCGTGTCAACCAGGACAGCCCCACAGCATCCAGAGCCTTAAGGAACTCCAGGCGGATCTCATCCACCCCTGGGGCCCGGCCACTGAGGAGCTTTTTAACCACCTCAGCGACCTCCGCCCTAGAGATAGGGGAGTCCACACCCAAGTCCCCATACTCCCCCCATATGTGTTGGTGGGATTGAGGAGGTCTTCGAAGTACTCCCTCCACCGACCCAAAATGTCCCGAGTTGAGGACAGCAGCACCCCATCCCCACCGTAAACAGTGTTGATGTTGCGCCGCTTTCCCGCCCGGAGCTGCCGGATGGTGGACCAGAATCGCCTCGAAGCCATCCGGAAGTCATTTTCCATGATCTCGCCAAACTCCTCCCACACCCGAGTTTTTGCTTCAGCGACCGCCGAAGCTGCATCCCGCTTGGCCTGCCGGTAGCTGTCAGCTGCCTCTGGAGTCCCACAGGCTAAAAAGGCCCGATAGGACAGGCACCGACCACCTTACGGCCACAGCTCTGGTCAGCCGCCTCCACAATGGAGGCGCGGAACATGGCCCATTCGGACTCAATGTCCCCTGCCTCCCCCGGGACATGGGAGAAGTTCTGCCGGAGGTAGGAGTTGAAACTCCTCCTGACAGGGGATTCTGCCAGATGTTCCCAGCAGACCCTCACTGTACGCTTGGGCCTGCCAGGCCTGGCCGGCTTCCTCCCCCACCAGCGGAGCCAACCCACCACCAGGTAGTGATCAGTTGACAGCTCCGCCCCTCTCTTCACCCGAGTGTCCCAGACATGCGGCCGCAAGTCCGATGACACGACTACAAAGTCAATCATCGAACTGCGGCCTAGGGTGTCCTGGTGCCAAGTGCACATACAGTATGAACACCCTTATGCCTGAACATGGTGTTCATTATGGACAATCCGTGACGAGCACAGAAGTCCAACAACAGAACACCACTCGGGTTCAGATCGGGGGGGCCGTTCCTCCCAATCACGCCACTCCATGGCTCACTGTCATTGCTCACGTGAGCATTGAAGTCCCCCAGCAGAACAAAAGAGTCCCCAGGAGGAGTGCTCTCCAACACCCCTTCCAAGGACTCCAAAAAGGGTGGGTATTCTGAACTGCCGCTTGCCGCATAAGCGCAAACAACAGTCAGAACCCGTCCCCCCACCCGAAGGCGAAGGGAGGCTACCCTCTCGTCCACTGCGGTAAACCCCAATGTACAAGCGCCCAGCCAGGGGGCAATAAGTATGCCCACCCCCGCTCGGCGCCTCTCCCCACGGGCAACTCCAGAGTGGAAAAGGGTCCAACTCCCCTCAAGGAGACTGGTTCCAGAGCCCAAGCCGTGCGTCGAGGCGAGCCCGACTATATCTAGTACAGGCCTGGCCACCAGGCGCTCACCATCGAAGCCCCACCCCCAGGCCTGGCTCCAGGGGGGGGCCCCGGTGACCCGCGTCCAGGCAAGGGAAACCGTGGTTCCATTATCTTTTTCTTCATTGGGGTCTTGTGAGCCGCACTTCGTCTGGTTCCTCACCCAGGACCTGTTTGCCTTGGGTGACCCTACCAGGGGCATAAAGCCCCCGGCAACGTAGCTCCTGGGATCATTGGAACACGCAAACCCCTCCATCACGATAAGGTGTCGGCTCTAGGAGAGGGCCAGTCCAACACATGTCTTTTTATTTAATGTGCAGAAAGAATCATTTGCTCTCACTCTTGGATTGTCTCTTACTTAAGTATTACTGTTCTGTTATCCTCAGTATGAAGCCATTCTCTCAGAACAATAAAGAACAATAGATTGCAGCACATATAAAGCCTCCAGGTTTGTGGTTCTGACACTGAGCAACAAATGACCTTAGGCCACAAGTGACCCACTACAACTTGGAACACATGGGACTTTTTTAAGCTATTAAAGATTGGAGTGTAAAACTCAATTCTTTCATGTGTACGTATCATCATACTTTTGGTTACTTTTGCAAGTACTGTTTCTCTTTTGGTAATGTGACTTTGATTATGGTAAAAACACAGCAGTGTGTTTTCTCTTGAATGCCTTGATTATTTTCAGTGGCTCTAAGAAATATTATTTTGTTTCAGATGTGAAGACCAAACCTGTGGACTGGATACTATTTTGTCACTGGCTGAAAGCCAAAGAACTTGCCAACAGGTGGTTCTGCTGCAGAGGTGTTTTGCTTTCTCGCCATGTGCTGATCTGGGTTAATATTTACCTCTTCACCTGAATACCGTGTGTCCTGAAAGGCCATCAGCCAATCAATGGAGCCCTTGGAGTTCAGTGAAGGTGCTTTTTGGGGACACAGTGCGCTTGGCTGCTTATAGCCCCCCACCCTCACCTTCCCCTTTGCTTGGGTATTTTGCTTTTTTAATTCCGGGATAGTGTCTGTTTTTATGAAGGGATGGATTTACCATCAGAAACAGCCAAGCATGGGAAGAAGTCAACAAGTCAAATGCTGGAGGACCAGAAGAAGGTAGGACTACTGATACTCTCCCTTATGCTTTTTGTTTAATGATGCTCTCTGCTTTCACTTTGTTGCAATGAATAGGGACAAACTATGGCCCATAATGGAAATTCAGACTTTGGCAGTTCTTCACCTACAAATTTAATCCAGATTCCATAGGAGACACAAAATCAAAGTCAGACAAGTGAGCAGACAGTGTTAAAACATACTCTGACAACATCAGTGCTTTAAAAGCAGCTGCAGCCATGTAAACACATATTAATATTAGGCTTGATGTGGTTGAAATAAAAATTAAGGACCAGGTGGGGAAGGACAATAGTATTAGGGTTTGCAGTGCGGCTTGCAGAGAGAAAAGAGAGGCTGGGGTGAGTAGGGGGGATTCTAGGATGTTTTGGGGTGGGGGGAATAAAAGGGGCCATGAGTCATACAGAGGGGCCAACCTTATCATTAGCCAATGATATGTTTTGAATTAGTGAGTGGCAAAGGAGGGGGCACTGTGGGGACCAATCACCTTTCAGTTGGAGCCAGTGCCCCTGTGGCTCCGCCCCCTATACACCCCTGGGGTGAGTAGAAAAGGCCTCAACAGGGCACTCATTGTGTAAAGATTTGTGGAGTGCTGTTGGGAATGGTGCTTGTCCACCAAGCAGTTGTTTACAATCCCTTTGTGAAAAGAGATGCTGTATTCCACCTTAGGGAATTTCTATTCACTGTGTGGGTTGTTTGAAACTAAGTCTTTAAAAGTTATTTTTTTCTACTTTGTTCCTTCCAGTTCGCATTATTCCACACTGCACAATCCAAATAAGGGTACTGGAAAACAAGCAAGTAGAATTCCTTGTAACACATTTCATGTGTTTGATTTAGCCTAATAGCTGCACCCCAAAGAATGTTTTCAGAGCTGTTTGACACACTCAGAGGAGATATCGATCTGCTAATCATAGTCAGATTAGCTGTTTCACACAAAAAAAACCCTGCTTTCAAAGGGAGACGGTGAGAAATGGCTTTCATCATGTCCGGATGAAGCTTTAAATACGTGCCCCACTGTGACTTGTCCCTCATAAGTAAGTTTCTGATACTCGTGGCTAACATCAAACGTGAAGTGCCAGTGAGGGCACCTATTTGAAGGTGTTTCAGTCAAAGTGGATTTAATTAGGCGAATGGCCAGGCTGCATATTATCTAAGCCCGAAGTATGTGGAAATAATGAAGGTCTATTATCAGTCATCTTTGGGGGAAGACTGACCCTTTAGTGAGTGGCGGCTGGATGGCTTGAAATAGTTTACAGAGCCAACAAATGCCATCATTATTCTGTGTAGCTTTACATTTTATCCACCATTTAGAGACTCAGGTTTCTGCTAACAAGTATGTCCAGAGTCATGGGAATGTATGTCCTGGTGCCATATGTTTCAAACATACCTAGAGATGCTCAGAGTGCAGAGTGAAACTTAGTTGGCTTAATAGTCAATCAAGCCTGTTTCTCGTCCGCATGATAAAACGGGTCAATGTGACGGAAGCCAAAGCCGGCGCCGGATTGAAAGGTGTTTTTATATTGCATGTTTACCAAGCCGTCCAACCAGCGTCTGAGTAATCATCTGCCATCGGTTATGACCAGATTCCTGTCCTGGCTGCACATTAAAGCTGTGGAAAGGGAGCCCCTCAATGTGAAAATGGCACTTTCTATAATTCATGGCTGATAGCCTCCAGTCGATGCAAAGCCCGCGTAAGTTGCAGTGACCTGCCAGTCTTAGATCACAGAGGCAGCCTGGGACTGAAGAGGACGTGGCAGTAACGTCATGAATGGGAAAAAGCTACTTGTCACGGGTCGGCCAGGGAGATGTCAATGCCCCCATGGATATTGAGCTGGTGCTTGGGGCCCCCGAGAGGCCCCGAGGGCCAGGGTCGTCTGTGCGTTTTCAGGGGTTATGATAGCATGGCAAGTCTCCGGAAATCTCTTTGCGCCACCTGGATAGGAAGGCAGTTGTGTCCAGCATGCTGGGTAACTTGATTGGTTGGCGATCACTGCTGTTAGGAGCTGGTTTCCAGCCCGTGTCAGTTGTATCTTGTGCGCGGTGTGTATGGGCTGGCTGTGCGGGGTAAGACTCTGTGTCTGTCATCAGACAATCAGCAGTTCCCATCTCGTGGCTTGAGCAAAGCGTATAACCCCAAATGCTGGCTGATCCTGCTTTCTGAGATATATGTCGCTTTGGGCAAACACATCTGCTAAATAATAATAACAATAAATCACTGAGTTTTTAGCCAGAACTCGACATCCAGAGTGTTTGAGACAACAGAGAAGGTGTCTTTGATAAAGGGAATAAGCATAGAAGAGATCGTGGATCAAATTTTCGGGATTTAGCACAGGCTGCATGCCCTGACCCAGACCCCCCCTGCCCCCCCTGTGAGTCCCTTTATTCCTTTTCCAGTTTTTAAATAAGTAATGAATCATTTGGAAAATGGTGAGTTCTCAGTTCCAGGGGATAATGATCCTAAGAGACCAGCCTGGATATCGGCAGGGAAGCCATATCCCTGTTTTAGTTTATAATACGCTTTTAAGAAACATTTGCTCATGCAGACCATAATTTTTGCAAGTTTTCAGAGTTATCGAATGATATGGCTGAAAGCAATAGAGCTGGCATTTTATGTGATGGAGAAGTTTAGTATTCCTTTGATAAATAAATGAATCTGAAACTCTCGGCTGAATTGACTGACACGTTGGGAAGGATGAAGCAGACCACTAGAATAGGGTGTTTTAAAGCCTGATTTCTGTATCCTTTTTTGTAGAATTCCTGGTACTGTTATCTGTAGTCCATTCTTCTTTCTCTCCCACACCAATACAGATGCATTAAATATAAAAAGCATACGTTTTGTACTCTCCTGTTTTCAGGAGGCTGCCTTTCAATCAAAAACCTAAAAGCTTATTAGTCAGACAAATTAGTTTCGATGCATGCAAGGCTCCCTTTGCCTGGCGCACACCTGTTCTCCATGTGTACATCTTCTGCTGGAATCGCAATAAACGAAAGCACAAATTGGACTTTTATGTCACGTAGCACCTGAGATCAGGCTGAAATGGAGACCCACTATTAATAGGTGTGGGGACCTTACATTTACTGGATAATTGACGCTGTTATCTGAAATCAGCCACGATATTTTATTGGAGCGGTTCTTTTTAAGTACCTTGTTTAAGGGTACTGCAGCTGGCTTCGTAAACTTGCTATATAGCAGAGGATGAATGTCCCGTAAGCCCTGTTTGCAACAGAAGTATGGCCCTCAGCTGGTCTCTGCAGCCTGGAACAAAGGAATCAGGGCCGCCCGCCCAGCCTTCTAAGCTTCACTGGTACCGAAGTGGAGCCACGTGATGTCCGTGAGGGATCGGCAGCTGTGGATCGGCAGGTCCTCGCATCTGGAGGCGAGCGCGAGCATGTGCTTCCCGGCCAGGCTACACGCGAGGAATCTGCCACATTTGAGTGGCGCCAGCGGCCGCCCATCTCCTTACGCCGCGCGGGCATCTGCACGCCGTTTCCGGAACATCTTGACGGCAGAGTTTGGACGTTTGTCCGAGCGTCGTGAGAATTTTGAGCAGCGCTAGAGATCCTCGTCCGGGGCTGGAGAGGTGTGTGGCCAACTTTTAGACGAGTTGTGAAAAGTAGCCTCTGCCACGAGGCCAGTCAGGGTTTTTTAGTGGAACAAAATGAACCGAAAGTAAATTAGGGAGGCACCGCTATCTTTATCTCAGTTCCAACTAAGTTGTGCAGCAATACCTATCTGCAGATGCTAATTAGTGAATTGTGTGTGGAAGAAGTTATCAAATCCCTGATCTTTTCTAAAAAAAAGTCGGACTGAGACTGAGGCTTGAAGCAACATACCCTCGTTTGTGCACTTCTAGTAAAAAGAGCTTGATAAATTTCAGTGAACCTGCATCAACACTCCACAGATGACTCTGTTGCCCATAGACAACAGACAGCAAGGTATCCATGCTTAGTGTGTTCTCTATAGTAACACTTTGTGGGTCTGCACTGAGGAAAATATGGGCTATTTCATCTCATTTTAACATTTAAGAAGTAACCATGATGGGAAATTATCATGATAGATCATGTACCCAGAAGACTTTGGTTTCCATGTGGGTCCAGGCCTGTATTGCACATGAAGAGCTGCTTTCTCAGTTACTGTGGCCTGGCTGGCCTTCAGTCCCTCAGGGTCCTGCACAGAATAGCTGATCTGAGGACTTCTTCATCTGGGAGTGAGAGCCAGGTGGAGGCCTGGGTGAGGATCGGGCTTGTTTATTTTTGGATGTTCAGAAAAATAAAGACGGCGTCCGATGTTATCGTCTCGCATTCCTCGGTACACTTGAGTTTCGCAGCCAGCAGGCTCACGTTACCGCTCACGTGTGGTCACATCTGCACCTCCGTGGAATGTCACCTTGCGGCACGGCGGGACGCGCAAAATAAACGACTGCATTGTTCTCGTTTAATTTTGCAGACTGTTATTTGAGCGGGCTAAAATTGTTTGGCCATCTTCAATTTGCCTGTGGATAGGCCCTTAGGTTCTTACTGGCTTTGGATCAAATGTTTTCCCCATTTATGACTTCCATCTCGTTCATCTACCTTTCAGAACCGTTTAGGGCTCGCATTCCGACGAGCATTAACGAGAGCCCTTTATGGGTCGTAATGATACCGCAACGGGGCTATAAGCTTCTGTAGCTGTAGTGAAACCTCAGATCTCATTGCACCGAGAGACCTGAAGCATTTGCCAGCATTAATCGACATGCAAGTAATGACACGGCAGAGATTGTAAGGCCTTTTTCTGTCATCCCTCATACGCTAATGAATGGTTTAGTCTTGCAAGGTCTTGTGGTTGAAAAGTTAGTAGGTGTAGTCACAGATCTGTGAGCGACACACCCACGTTTGTTGACTAAACATATAAACAGTGGCTGGCTGGTCAGGAATGTTTCTGTGATCGGCAGGTAAAGATTTTCAACATGCAACAAGTGGTGATCACATTAATCGGCTCACACGGG